TTATAATTAGTTAACACCAAGCAGAATGATTCCAAGAGGAGGGACAAAGACTTGAATCCCAGTATCTGTGGATAGAGCATCTGTTCAAGCAAAAGAAAACATGGCTTTAAAGGACTGATCCTCTATCTTCCTCATCTTAATTGCATGTCTTGAGTAGTGGAGATTGGCTATTCTAGATTGTTCTTGTGCTCTCTACCTGGATTTGATTGTAAAATCTATTCTGGACTTAAAATAGCTTTATTATTTCTGCAGAACATTTCCTTGTCAACAAAATGGTACTTTCCAACAGTGAAAAAAACTTGTCAACAGATTTCTTACAAAGTCACAAAACAGTCTTGACAAATATATTCCCTCAAGAAAACACTTTTCCCATATTTAAGACTTTGAACTGAGCTCTTATGACAAAGTTTCTTCCTCAAGCTCTGTTAAAGTGGGGTAACCACTAATCGCAGGATCACTGGGATCAAAATGAGGACAGAGAGGCAAAGAAGGGTCCATAAACAGCCATGCAATTAATGCACCCACCTCCATATGGAGGCCAGTTGTTCCTGCTGAACTCATATGAAGCTTGGTGTATCCAAACATCAGATCTGCATATTGCTATTTACAGCAGCTAGTCTGGAAAACTTGGGTGTTCCATACAGAAACTGCATGAATTCAGAGCAATCCTGATGGGAAAATAAGGTCACAGACTATGAAAAATCTCTGCTTGAGGGTTCTGGATTCAGATATAATGCTTCTCTGCTGCATCTCAGGACAATCATGTTCTCTGCCTGTTTTTCAAGTTGCCTTTAGCTATATGTGTTTGAAGGAAGTTGTGATGCCTGGCATGCAAGGGGGCATGAAAGCGTTTTGTAAGGGCAGAGTAAACACAGGACTGCTTTGTGATCCCAGCATAAGCTTCTCTCCCCACACTTCACCCCAATGCCAAAGTGTGGGCATGGGAAAATGCACTTCATTTTCCTGCAAACAGTTTGGAGATGGGTGAGGCATCGCCAACAGAGAGACTGGCAGGGATCCCACATTCCGAGCCTTTTTACAACAAAAAGAGCTCAGCAATTAGCAAAATTAAAAAAAAAAAAAAAAAAAAAAAAAAAAGTCAAATGCATTTTTGATGCTCTGAAGTTGCTGAGATTTTAAAGAGTTTTAAACAGTCTGAGCTGCTCCCACACACTGAGGGCTCTGTGAGCCAACAGCGTAGCAACAGCACCACCGTATGGGTATCATCAACCCCTCCACCCTGGGAAATTTTGTCCATCTGGTTTGTTCTGTATGCAAGATTAGTACTACGATGGGATTAGTTTAAAGCAATTGATTTCATGGTTGTTGTCAAGAGCGTGGGTGGGTTTTTCTCCAAGGCTGGTCAGGGTTATCTCTGAAATATAAAATCCCAAATGGGAGCAGCTGGTCCCTTGTAGGAACACTCAAGGTCAAACAGACTCCCTGTGCATCAAACCCTGAAAATTATCACTGTGCAGGTTCTATTCGTTGGCACCCACAGATCTCAAAGCACTTCCTTTGTGATAACAGATGTCATGAGCCCAATTTGCCACTATAGGAAGAAGAGGCACAAAGAAGGGAAAGCACATGGAAAAGAACCCTAAACTAGCAGTAACACCAATACCCTTCTGTTTCCAATGCTTTTCACTCGTTGACAGTTGCAGTCTCTTTGTTGAACAACACTAAGCATCTATGCATGTGGCTGAAACAGAACTCTGCAGCAAGCCAAGGGTATCCAGAGAAGCAGGAATCTTTCTGCTGTACCAAAGTTGTGCCTCTCCATCCCAGTTCAGGTGCATGGGAGAGTGCAAAGCATCTGGGAACATGGTGGGAAATACCTTAGGCTGAGATAGCGGCCATACTATGGCCTTTTGCCACAAGCAGAGAAATACCCCAAAATGACAATGCTTACAACTAATAGAAGAGGGTGCACAGGACCATCTGCTTCTGACAGCAAGCTGTCCACCTCTCTCTTTAGATATCTGTGTGTCTATTTGTTTTTAATTTTCCTCTTCCCTTATCTGTCCATTTGCTTTCCCATCTATTCAATCATATGCATCATTTAGGATCAGTGCATCCCTCCTTATACACGAATCTGTAATGCAATTTACCTTACTGCCATCTAGTGACTCAATGTCATTTATTCCCCATCCATTTTGACTTGAGACACAGTTGCTTGCATTCCCAGAAACACTGCTGTGCAGCCACTGAGAAATACTATTTCAATGCCTGAAATTTTCATTGAAAATTCATATGGTAAATCCTGTTCTAGAAGAAAGAAATCCCCTCATTCTAAACAGATTTACAGACATCACAGCAATGCTCAGGACAAGAAATCTCCTGTTTTTCCCATTGACATCCTCAGTCTAAGCTGCACTATAGCTTTCAAGGATAGACCAAGGTAAGTTGACATTACCATTTGATTCACTGCACCCATACCAAACACCTTCAAGAAGTGATAAAGTCAATAAGATTCCCCTTGAAACACATTGCAACCTCCATGTATGTACTTCAGAAGACCTCAAACACTTCCAAAGTTTTTTTTTGGTCTTTTTTAGAGGTGGGACCTGAGCTTATTTCACACATCCTACATGCTGATCTTAGGAATCACCTCATGGAGATGTAGCCTCTTTGCACATTGACTACTGAAAGAAGTAGGATGAGTGACAGAGACTAGATGCAGACTTAATAGAAATAACTCTGCTCCAAGGATCCTGTTCAGAGCAACTTTCTTCCCTCTTTGGAGATGCTTGGTATCTTTATCCAAATGTCCCAGGCATCAGTTCACCTACTGCTTTACATGTCCTCAAACTTCCAGCTAATGCCTAGCACTGTTTTCCATCCCCTCAGTGTAATTGGTGACACCACGTCCTCTATCACATCCTGCCACAACTTTTCCAGCCTGACACCAGCAGATGAGCCAGCAATTAACCAAGCCTTCCATCTCTACATCCTCCACAGAAGTATCCAGGGCTATATCAATCAGGAATCTGCAGTGAAAACATAAACTATCCTGAAAAAAAAAAAAAAAAATCAACCAAGTGACTTGTACACATCCTTAGGTCCCCAGGAGAATTAGCCTCCTGCATGCAATTAGACAAACTTGGGATTGTATAACATCAGTAAAATAAAAAAATACTATGTACATACAATCCTATGGGCAAGTGAGTGTTAATGTATGTATAAAAACAACAACGGGGCATGTTTGCCATCTTCAGGAGTCAAGCAGGAACTGCATATAAAAGTTCAAAAAAGAGTGAAAAGCTACAACTGATATAAGTGTATGCAAACATTAAATAATAATAATAACAATAATTCCAGACCTGGGTGGATTTTATTAGGTTTTCTACTCCCCTTGACTCCCTTTTTGTCTAGCACAAGGAACCAGACACTACAGGGGCAACCATAAGTAGTTAAAATAAAAATCAGCCTTAAATATCTCTAAGTCAGGTACACCGGAGCCTGAAAGCATATTACTCATTTTTTATCAAGTTATTCCATAGAAATTTATGTATAATAAATAAAAAGACAATGAAACAAAAGGCAATAGGCACAAAAAGAATGTTAAGGGATTTTTAAAATATTATGTTTGTTTGGTTGGCTTCTTTGGTATACTTGTTCATTTGTTTGCTTTCAAGTTCAGGAGTTCACGGAGGAGCACTCAAGATCTGCAAAACCATCTCCTGCATTGGATTCACCACTGGTGTAACTCAGAGTGGCGCCACTAACATTAGTAGAGTTATGTTGGTTGACCTGATCTTCCTTCTCAGCCTTTGATGGAGATCACATATTCACCAACACAAAAACACGCCTTCTCTTGTCTTTGAAGGGGTGTCTTGTGTGCATAAGAGCTGCATTGTGTGCAGTAAAGACAGGTTGGATGGGGCTCTGATCAACTTGATCTGATTTAGTGGTTGGCAACCCTGCCAGCAGCAGGGACTGGAACTAGATGGTATTAGAGGTACCTTCCAACCCAAGCCACTTGATGTTTCTAAGGAGTCTCTGAAAGCTGTTGCTACAAAACCTATGCTACTGAGATTTAAAAAGTAAAGCAAGAAATGACAGAATACTGAGCTTAAAAGAAGAGATTTTTTGTTTTGTTTTGTGCTCTTCCACACTGAGCAGTGGACAAAGAATATGACAGACAGAAGTCTCATCAACTCACCAAAGAAAACAGTCATGTTTCAGGTTGGAATGTGGTTGAACTCACCTGGATCTGTGGTGGGAAATTCCATTTCTATAACAAGCCAGGATTATTTACAGTACACTCAGGTAGGAGTTCAGCTGTACCCAACCACTACTCGACAAAGGCATGCCATAGTGCTTATGATGTGGAGATAAGCATAATACTAGAGAAAGTTATCAGAAGGTCTCTTTGATTTAAAAAAATGAATTGGGCATAGTCTTTTACTAGATCATAAACAGTGCACCCAAATAAATATATGTGAGCACGCAGTTATGTGGAAGAGGCCTACATATTGTGATTTGCCAGAATACCTTGCTACCACATGACAGTGGTGTCACATAGAGACACTAATACAAATAAATAGCTGGAGGTGTTTATTAAAAAAACAACAATTTGTGCTTGATTTGAACATAATGGCTCCACTCAGGGTAGTAATGGGGGTGGAAAGCCCTGTTCCCAGGGCGTAACCACAGCCTTGCTCTCCCCAGGGAGATGCATAAGGCCAGTCTTGTTCTAAAGAATTTGAGGGTTTTTTCCGCTCATGAACATTTTATCCAAGGGTGGGAGGGAAGGAAAGTGCATAGTAGTGGAGCGGAGCTGTTTGTTGGTAGCTAGGAAAGTTACAGTCAGATAGGAGAGGCACCTAAAGCAAATATCACCATCACAACCAAACCCCTCCCTTGGGTCCAGCATACAATCCTGCTCAGGTGCCTTCACACGGTAATCTGGGCATGCACAATTGCTGCCTCCCACAGCATATAAAGTGCCCCACGAGGAAATAACTCATATTCAGCACAAGGGAGGCAATCCCAAAATGAAGGTTTTCTTCGTCCTCCTGCTGGCAGTCGTCCTGTGCACTGACCCAGGTAAGATAGATCTCCATCATCTCCAGCAGATCATCAACTGGAAGAAAAGATGTGTTATGGGTTTTGATACTGAGGGGGAAAATACTGGTCCAGTTGTCATAAGATGTTTGCTTTTTGATGGAGTGTCTCGTGTGTTGCAGGGGAAAACACAGTTCCTCCCTGGTACTGGTGTGATCCTAGTATGGATAGATCAGCTTCTAGGCAAGATACATCTTAAAAAATTTGGAATTTAACTGGGAAAGAAAAAATCCTTGAATTTAACTGAAATCAAAATTACTAAAGTTAGACCACACTGTTTGATATTGTTGTTTTATTTTGCTTTGCTTTGCTTTGCTTTTGAGATTCTTCTTCTTCCCATCCTATTTAATTGGACCACCACAACATTTCTGCTGTGTTTTTGTTCCCACTTGTTTTCTTACTCATTTTAAAAGTAGCTTCTGATGCTACACAAGTTGTGGGTTAGAAAGGAGAAGAGAAAATGAGAGAATACCACAGAATGTCATTTTCTAGACTGAATGGGTGGGATACAGGCAAAGCAGATTTGAAACTTTTCTGGTCTGACCTGAGAAAAATGTGTGATTTAAAAACAGCTCTTCCTATTAGTAGAGAAGAAGTAGATCTGAACAGAAGCTTGTCTCAAAAAGCAAAGGGTGGTTAAGAAATAGGCTGAGAAGCTGTTCGTACAGACCATCTCCTCTGCCATCTTCCATAAAGTTGCTCTGAAACGTGACTTTTTGCTGCACTAATAGATAAATGTGACAGTAAGTTGTAGCACTAGATTTAAGCTGGGATTTGACTATTTGCTGAATCAGACATTTATGTCAGAACAACTTGGACATGAGACCAAGTACATAAAATCTCTTCTTGTTTCAAATCTGTTCTGCTCTGAATAGCACTCATTTCTAATTATGGCTTGTCTGCGTCTTAAAAGAGTATTTCAGGCATTAGGGTGTTGAAGAAATCATGAGACAAGCCTGGCAGTCAAGGAGTTAAGGTACATACACACATTCACAGCATATTAGCAAATCTGCAAAGCTTCAGTTGTGCCTTGGGGCATGGGTGGGTAATAGGAATGGGTAATTGCACCATGCTCTCACTCCTTGGGGGACTACTTTTCATTCGGGCTAGGCATTTGTAAACTGCAATGCTTATTCTGCCTTTGCTTGACCTCTGCCTCCACACATGTTAACAATGTTGAGCTGGGTCACAGAGAGATGGACATGTCCATGAGGGGATGGGAACATGTGGCAATCTGGTTGTGAGATTCTGTTTTCTAAGAGGTACTATTGGATAATAGGTATCACAGGTTGATCAAACTGAGAAAACGAGCTGAAAGAAATCTTTAAAATCTCCTGCTCTGTTCCTTCCTTACCTTCTCCTTCTTTGGGCTTTCTCCATTTGTCCCAACCCTGACCACTGTGCCTCACCTAAGGCTTTTGTGTACAACCCTCCTGTCTATAGAGGAAGACAAACAACATTGACCAACCCTTCTGGGAACTTCATCCTTCCATCTCTGCTCAGTTCACAAGGTGGGAATATCACAATAATCCCATTCCTGAGAGGAACTGTGCTGGGCATCTCAAATGCTGAGGAAGGAATAGTCTCCTTCCCGTTGACTGATGACTGAGTCTCCTTCCCATTTGCTTCATCTCCTTCAACTGCTTTCTTGCATCCTCAGTGCACTACCTACATCTGAAACCACTCCACCACCTACTAGATTTTCCTCTCACCTCAAGCAAGTAGGACATCCTCAAAGCAAAAATGTAAAAAAATGCTGTTTTCCCAATAACAGAGGTAGTGTCTTCCTTTGAGCATTCACAAAAATGATCCTATTTCCCAGTGCACGCATTAGATTTGGTTACCTGGAGAGCTTCAAATGGATTTTTGTTATAACATCTCTTGGTCTTTTGCAGGTTCTTCTTTGCAATGCTACAGCTGCAAGTCAAAACTCAGCAACAGCAACTGTCAGGAATCAATGAACTGCAAGGAAAATGAAGTGTGCAAGACAGATGTAATCAGTAAGGCAAAGAGGGGGTGGACAGCATGGGGAATGGATTGTTATTGGAGACTGGCATGGTCTCAATCTCAGGTGTCCATGTCTGCCCCACCAATTCTACATACATCAGATGGTATGGGCCCGCAAAGCTCAGCATCCGTCCCCAAAAATTATTTGGTGAGAAAGGGATGATGTAAAGCTTTCAGAAAAGTTCTAGTTTAGGTAAAAGTGACAGAAAAATAATCTTTGTCCCTTGGTGATAGCTAGTGCTGTCATCGATTTTAAGTGCCTTAGTAGTAGTGTTGGCAAATATTCCCCTCCCACAGAAAGAAGAATGTTATTACACCTGTGGCTGAAACAAATTTAGAGACATGATTTATTGGCCATGGTGTTGATGGCATGACTGTTGAACTTGATGATCTTAGAGGTCTTTTCCAACCTTAATGATTCTATGATTCTAAGTTCAAATCTTCTCCTCTCACTGGCTGTAAGGGTGTGATTCAAAAGGCACATACTTCTTGTATCTCTTAAATTCCTCAGTGTTTACCAATGGATCATGTGAAATAATAAGCACTATGCTCAGTGCAGTGCCAGAGTCTGGAAAAAATCTCAAGAGAGCACAACTGCTTTGTTTAGCACATAGCAGAGCAGGGCACTAGTGGTTAAGCACATGATATTATGAATAACATATACAAATGTCCCTCTTTTTTTTTCTTCCTTAATAGTAAGAAGTTTTTCTTATAAGGGAAATCGTTAAGTTTATAGCTTCACGAACCTTGGCTGGGATAATATTTCATTGAGTCCTTGGAGTAATGGTCCTGTCTTCTTTTCAGGGGTGATAGGGTTCTTCAGCATCATCAGCAAGGGCTGTGAGGCAACATGTCAAGAAGACTATCAAGATTTCAAAGTGGGCAACAGGAATGTCTCCTGCTGCACCAGCAACCTCTGCAATGTCAATGCAGCAGGAAGTGTGAGGAGCAGCTATGGAATGGCAGCAGGGATAACAGCCAGTGTGCTCTTGACCTTCCTGAACAACAGACTGTGAAGAGGAAAGAGAGCTCCTGTGACCACAGAAAGTCTTGAAGCACCCCTGTTACGATGGGAATTGTAGCCAGATGCAATTTGGTGTGTTGGGCATACAGCATCTTTGGAGCTGATGGCAGATCTTTGCCTTATGATAGCTTCTTTATTACTGTTGTTGTACTGCTGTGTTGCTGCTAGATGAGAAAGCGTGTGTGTGTGCAATCCACCGAAAATAAAATATACTAATTTCTGAATCCAGTGTGAGTGCATTGCATGTATATCACTTACCTATGTATTCCTGCACACAACAGTTGGGTGTGTTGTATATCTGGTGATTGTTCAACCTTGTTAATTGCTATGTAATGACGTGTGTTGAGAGATGCCGAGAGATTAGGGACATGGCTTAGTGGGCATGGCGAGGGGTTGGTGGTTGGACTAGATGATCTTCTCCTTAATCATTCTATGATTCTATTATATGATTTCATGCCATTACACATCAGAATAGAGTTGGCATCCATAGCTCCAAATCTTGAGGGGCTCTGATTAATGACAAACTCTAGAGTGTATATAACCTAAGAAGACCCACAAAGAGCAAATATCTAAAGAGAAACTTGCTTCCAGCCAAGAGATCCCACAATCCTGCACCTTGTTGGTTACCACACAGGACAAAAACATTGCTCACCTTCCCTGCTCCATGTGCATATGGTCACTCATAATCCCACAGCTGTAGGATCCTTGGGATGGTGGGCAGGACTGCACAGCCAGATAGCCAGATCATCACTGTGGGCAGTAACTGTTGGAGTGAAAAATATGTCCTTAGTGTGTCCTGGTTAATCTATGTGCGACCTAAGATTGCCTGCAAATTCTGCAATTGCCTGCACATCTTCATGATGGCCAAAGGTATCGTGGTTGGCAGTGGCATCCTCTAAAAGCTTTCATGTCCCAACAAAACATTCTCAAGCTTTCTTCTCTAAGTTCCACCCTGATCCATTTGTCATGCCACAGCCTGGCACACAGATTCTGCCACAAGGTTGAAAAAGTGCTGATTTCAAAGCCTAGTTTTGAAGGAAGGGTGGAGAAATAAAACAATAGAGGTTTCATTTTCCCCTCTAAGCATCTTGATTTTGTAGTTCAGCCTAATGTTTGGGTCACATAACCAGATGCACCCTATGTTGGATATGGTTGGTTAGAATGAGGAGGATACAAGTGTGGTGAAAAAATGAAAATATTGCCCCATCCATAGAGGTCTTCAAGGCCAGATTGGATGGGGCCTTGGGCAGCCTGGTCTCATATTAAATGTGGAGGTTGGTGGCCCTGCATGTGGCATTGGGGTTGGAGATTCATGATCCTTGATGTCCTTTCCAACCCTGGCCATTCTGTGATTGTGTGATTGTGTGATATTAAGGAAAAGAAGAGCAGTGGAGATAAATAAAGGAATGAAGCTGTTTCCACTTCTCCTGAGGTATAGGGGAACAGAAAATTAGGATAGGAATTGTGTTCCCTGAAAGTTTGTTGAGGCCCTGAGGATATCAACAGAGTACACTTCCCTTTTACAAAATTCACAAAAATTTCCTTCTTCACAAAAGATTCAACATATAAGACCCAAATACATGGAAAATCATTTCAAACTCTCTCAGTCAGTGGTAGCAGTAAAGTGTCTGTGTGCAAGGCAGGCTGTACAGTTTTATCTTCACTCATATACAGTTATAGCCTCTCTCTACAGTTACGGATTCTATATTATATAACTTGCCCTCCCCATGTAGGTTATTTTATAAACTCAAGTGTTCTCATCTTGCACTGGGATAACTTCTACAGCATTAGGCAAAACTGTCTGCAAGAAACTCTCCAATAAGGCCTCCAAACCTTATGTGTGTAGAGATCTGAAAAACAAGTTAGAAATCATAGAATCATAGAATCTTTAGAGTTGGAAGGAACCTTTAAAGGTCATCTAGTCCAACCCTCCTGCAATGAAAAAGGACATCTACAGATAGATCAGGGTGTTCAGAAGCCCACCCATCATTGAATGAATTTTGGAGAATAAAACACATGTTCCTCTTCCCAATATACAACAAAGGAACAAAAGAATTCCTGGAACTGCAAAGGATGTGCAGAGCCACAGAATGAAATAAGAAAAAAACATCAACCTGGTAGAGGTGAGTCATCAAGGGTTGACCAGATCACACATAGCTGTGGGATAAGGGTCAGCATCAAATTTTGGATGAGGTCAGAGAGATGTCAGAAGATTACGACACTGTCTGCTGTTGTGAAAGAGAAAAACACATAAATCTTTGGTTATAAGATGTTGACAAGCTGCTAATTGTAGGAAGCAGGGAAGGGGTTTCCCCAAAATAAACTGAAATGAACCATCTTCCCCCTAAGATGCCTGTCTCATTATCAGCAGAGCAAGGATATGGAGTAGGTGAGGTGGCTTGGTTGTTTTTTTGGTATTTTTTTTGTCTTTTTCCAAGCCTCCAGAGTCTAAGAGACTGGAAAGCAGGGTTATCCATCTATACACACCCCAGCCAGACTGCTTTCTGTGTGGACAACTAGCTTCATGATCTCTCTAGCCCAGAGGCTCATCTTTGTGTAAAAGGATCCTTAATACACTACTACTCCCATGCCCACTTTCTCAAATAATTCCCAGGTAGTCAGAAATGTCTACATCCAGAGACTATTCCCTGGAGTCTGTATGACTGTGATAGCCTTTTTGTGAAGACTGGGATTTCAGCTGTCTGGAAATGGTCAAAATATGTTAGCCAGATTCTTGATGTTTGGTGAGATGCAGCCTCTTTGACCAAACTGCAGTTACTGGAGAAGTCAAAAACTGAATGAATAAAATATTCTCCGGTATTTATTTTCTCTGTGTCAAAATCTATGAGGGAGTGTGGTTTATCTGCGTTATAGCACACTGATTGGTTTGATTGGATGGGTTGGTTGGACTTGATGAGTTTTAAGGTCTTTTTCAACCTGAGTGATTCTATGATCCCATGTAGCACTGATATCTGTTTTGTGGAGGCACAGGGAAGCTTAGGATTTTCTTGATGGAGCCAAGAGGTTCTACTGGTTGAAACCTTATGTCTGTATTCTACAGGCTGAGAGAACTATTTTTCCTCCCAGTTTTCTCTTTGTACATATTCTGGAAAAGAGTACATGATTGACAACTGAGTTATTTTTCTCTCTAGGGATACATCTGGAGTTTTTATATGTAAACACAGAATAACAGAACTATAGAATCATTAAGGTTGGAAAGGACCACTGAGATCATCAAGTCCAACCATCAGCCCATCCCTACCATGCCCACTAAAACACATCACTCACTGTGACATGCACTCTTTTCTTGAAAACCACATGGGACAGTGACTCCACCATCTTCTTGGACAGCCTATTCCAGTGTAGTACAACTTTTTTAGAGAAGAATTTTTTCCTAATATCTAACCTAGCATAAGGGTAGGGATTAGGTAGCTTAATATGAAGAAGGTGTAAATGCAATAGGCTGTGCCTGGGATGGAGGCAGTAAATAGAAGTGTAGGAAGCACCTACAGAAATAATGTGGTGCACTGGTAGACCTCCCTGCTGCTTGATATGTCCTGGAACAGCACTTGCAATAATGCACTTCCTTTTCCATTCAGGTCACCAACAGACAGCCTTAAAAACAAGCTGCTAAATTCTGGGAAGGACTAGGAGGTGGCACAGTAAAGTGGAAAAATGACTCACCCACAAGTCAAAAGCTGGGCTGGGTCAAGGGCAGGACCAGAAAGAGGTCTGCCTTTTTAGGTCCCATGAATGCAGGTTGGCAGAAAGCCTAGCTTCCCCTTCTTCCTTGTAAACCCCTAATAAACACAAACAGGACTTGTTCCCTCCTGCAGCCTCTTCCAGCCCTGTGCTTAGTTCGTGGCATCTTACAACTCCACAAGCCTTTGGCTGAAGGTCAATTTGCACTGGGAAAATGGGTTGAGAGCTGTTTGCTGGATCAAGAATAACATTTATTTGAAAAACAAGGCTATTTTTTATTCACCCGTAAAAGTTGTTTCTTGACATTGCTGGCTAAGCAGTGCTATCAGTTTTTCTCCTATCTTTTACACACTTTCTTTTACACACTTACCAAGAGGCCTGAAGCTTACAGTCTCTTTAAGGAACTTAATCTATCATGTATACAAGAGATTCCTAAACTTCCAGGATCACTGGCTTAAATAATAAGCAGTTGCACAATAAACTGGATTGTTTCTTATCTCTCAAATATAGGAAAGGTCAAGCAAATCTGACCCAGAGTGACTGCTTTGGCATATCTTCTATGGTAGGAAGCATTACAAATGTGCATTTTGAGCAAAATAAAAGTGTTTCTTGGATTATTGCTGTGGTGTTGTATTTGCTGCTAGTAGTGTTACTAGTCCTCATTATCTCTGTGGATAGGGATTAGAGCATACAGCATTTCCTATGGCCCAGCAGCATTAACACCCAGTATATGCACCTGATTCTAAAAGTGTCACCAAGGCCCCTTGAATTCAACCCAATTTACAGCAGCTGGTTAAAAACATTTGATGATATTAAAAAAAAATCCCTGTTTAAGGACCAGCAGTTCCTTGCAATGCTCCACATTTCTTTTGTGGCCCAGGGCAAATTACACAGCCTCTCCATATCTCTATCTTCTACAGATGTTATCAGGTCCAGTCTATCAAGAGATGCACAGAGAGTGACTTTAATGGGGCCAGCAGAGAGAAGTAAGCTAAAAATAAGCCAGAACAGTCAGCTAGCTAACAGAGCCAGAGAACTACCCGCTACCCACCCACCCTGCACAGCCACATTCCTGTTCCCAATTATGCAGAAACTGTTGTGCAACCAGGCTTTTCATGGTTTGAAAAGACTGAGGAAGAGCCTGCAGTTAACCATGCTCTTGCAGTCATAAAAACAATCAAAAGACCAACCCTTTTATTGCAGAACATCCCTCAAGTAACTGCACCTGTCACTCACCCTGGGCAAGGCTGGCTGGGCAAGGCTGGTGGAGCCACGCTCATGCCATGCCAT